CCTCATACTGCAGGTTCAGGATGGTGAAGTTGAGGGTGAAAGGCATCAGAAGAGGTTCAGTGGCTGTAGCTGGGGTGGAAAATAAACACACTATTGAAAAGTAGAAAAAAAATCTAAAAATCGGCCATAAAGCTATTTCTTATCATGTGCAATAGTATTTAAAGTGATAGAGAAAATACAAAAATTGGCAATAGATCTATTTTTTTTATCATATGCAACAGTATTTAACATGATTGATAAAATAAAACTTTTTCATGCCTCCATTGCCTATAATGATAGAATTTTTTTTTTTAAAAAAAGCACATTAAGGAGTACTAGTTAGATGCTGAGCATAGCATTGGGTACATTTCAGTACTGAATAAAGTCAGAGATTATCTGTGACGTCTGTAATAAACATTATCACCATTATCGTCAACATCACTATGATTATTGTCACCACTCCATCATCAGCTCCAACACAGCCGCCATCATAATCCCTATCACCACCGTCATCACATCATCATAACCATCATAAGCAGGACAATCATCGTCATCATCATCATCATCATCACCACCGCCATCATCACATCATCACTGCCACCATCGTCACCATGATAATATCAACTCTCTGAGGGCAGAGATTTGTTTTCTCTTTTGTGTTCTCTGCTGTATACCCAGTACTGGCACAAGGTAGGTGCTCAATACATTGTTGGGTGAATACTCATCACTAGATATACCGTGACGTTTCATCTTCATCGGTGTGAAAATGGCAGAGATGTTTGCCTTCATCAGGGATGCTCTAGCAGAGGTGCCACTGATGAGTACTCACCCGAGGGACTGGGTAAGGAGGACGGAGTCCCAGACGTTCCCAGGTTCACTGTGGAGGTCCTAGGAGCTAAGGAGAAGCCCAGATCAGTGACATCAGCAAGCACTCTCATGGGAGAAAGGCCAGCAGGAGGAAATATTAATAGGCTTAATGCATGTGGGGTTTGAATTTGGAGTCTCTCTAGAGATGGGGCATAGGGGAAAAGGAGTAACTTGTCTGCCCCCCAGCTCCTTCCCTCCTGATGAGGGCTTGAGGGGGAATGGGGGGTGGTCAGCTACTGCCCTGCTTGGGGACACTGGGAAGTTAGTTGAATACTCACTGCTGGTGAGGTGAAGAGAGGTCTGATGGGTGAAATCTGCAAGAGAGGGAAGCAGGATGGTTTGTAAGGGTTAAGGGAGAGATGGGGAACCAAACAGGGGTGAGGGCTACCCTAGTGCAATGGAAGGAGGTTCATGGAGCAGGGAATATTGGAGATTCTCTATCTGCACCCTCACATCAAAGAAGACATTCCCAAGGATGAACTCGGTGCAAGATGAAGAAGAAACCAGGAAGCTAAGACCTCAATCATCACATACATACACCATGGCCAGGCCTTCGATGGCAAGGTAGTGAGTGTGACCTGAAGCAAGAGAGCAGAGGCTGCCCAGCAAGGAGAAAGAGACTCCAGCCACATCATAGTTCCTCACCATTGACATACAGACTGTCCCTGTCCAGGGTGTAGGGACCCAGCTCAGTGATGCCGTGGGTCAGCTGGCTCAGCTCCCGGTACAGCTGCTCTCTGTCCAGCCCGTGGCCTGTGGGGTCAGGGCGGAGGGTGCAGATGGCGTCCACTCCAGTGGCTGCCCCATCCTTCTCGGGCCTGGGGAAGAGGA